GAAAAAATGTCTATAAAGACTCCCCAAGAGAGCATAATGAAATAAAGATGAAGAAACAATGAACAAGAGGCCACAGTTCATTGTACTTTTCACTTTCTATGCTTGTTTTCCTATGAGCATACATTTATTTTTAAATTTAACTTTAAAAAAATCAAAGTAAGATTTATCTACGCAACAAAAGCATTACATGAATAAGGAAATTCTGACTACAAGATGTCATTTGTCAGCCCATGCTGAGGGTCCATCTCATGGAGGGTTGCCCATTTAGTGTCTCTTAGGAGCTCACAAACTTCAGGAGGAAATTGCATTTTTAATCAGTATGTTGGTTTGCAACAAACACCAAGTGTCCCACAAAGCCTAACATGTTTTCTATCTGGCCAGTTACAGAAAAAGTCGGCTGACCTCTGGTCTACAGTATATTCACTTAAAAACTTTTTTTGGTGTGTACATATAGTGGAACACTCCTCACCAAATAAATGAACTACAACTACACACAACACTGTTGATAAATCTCACACAGAACGTGTGAAAGAAGACAGAAGCAAACACTGCATCCTGTAGGATTCAATTTGTCTAACTCCCAGAAACTGGCCAAACTTACCTTTGGTGACACAAATATCTTTGGGGAAAGGCAAGTAGTAATGATTGGAGGGGTTATGAAGGGGTTTCTGGAGATGTTCTGATTTAAGTGTTGTTAGACACATTTTTTTTTCAATAATTTCGAGATGTTCATTTAGACTTCATGCACGTTTCTCAACTTACGTTATACTTTGTTGTAAAAGCAAAACATTTCAAATACCGATTTTACAAAAATATACCCAGATGAAGAAAATTAAATTTACCAGGCTTTTTTTTCATAAATAAGTAGGTAAGAAAGTGCATGTGTATCCCAATTACTCAGAGACCGGTGGCCCCTAAACCACACTTGGAAAAATAACAATGTAAAGCCAAGTTTGCACTTGACACCATGGCAACCATTTAAACCCCAAACTGTTTTCTACTGACTTTGTATATATCCAAGATTGACAATGCTTCCACTTTCCTGACTTGATGTGGTCCCAGTGGTAGGCAATCATTTGGCCCCTTTTGTCAAAATAATACTAAAGCTACTTTTTGGCCTAGCAGTCAAGGGAACACTGGGAGCCTCTTTTAATTACTAACTCAGCTCTAAGAATGAGCCTGGCTAAATTTCCAGCTGAAGCTGAAGCACAATCTCTATAGTCTTGGGGAAAATGTTAACTCTAAAGGTAAGAGGAGGTTACCTAGCTTCAAAACCCACGATCTTATCAGAGGATAGTGTGTTCAGGGGGGTGGTTGTAATTCTGGTCTTACTTTCTAACATCCTCACTGTTGGGTGATGATCGCTACTTTCAACACTTCCTCACCAACTTCCAAATGACACAGCATTACTATGCTGACCAGTTGAAGGGGCTCTGTTCTTTGTGTCTGTTCAGCCTGCATCCTCCACTTTTGGTAGTGGCACACCATTCTTTTTTGGACAACTACTCTAATCCATTGGTCTTTGTGGGGGCTGCCAATCAAGGTGCCCTGCTGTTCCCTGACCAAAGAACTTAAACCCATGACCCAAACTGGGCCAACTGGACACTCTTCCTGGAATTCACATGCCCACCATCATCTCTAGACTAGGAACTCTTCATCAGTAGGGACAAAGTTTTATTCATCTATCTCTGATGCCTAGCACAGTGCCTGGCTATGAATATTCAATGCCTGTGGGATGAATACACTACAAAGAAAATCATGTACCTTAAACAAACGCTGAGCTAAGTCGATCATTTCCCAGCCCCATTCTGGAGGGGGAGCAAATTGTATGATGTTTTGTAAGGGAAATGTCCACTTTAGTAGCTAGGAAATATGCATCGGAAATAGTACCCTAAGTTGCCATTTGTCAGTGCATTAAAGACGTCAATCAGTCCAATAAAATAAAGCTCCAAAAAGCACAAAAAGAGAATTACCTCATTACCTCAACATCTGCTTAAACATAAGCAATCACATACTGGCTAATTTTTTTAAAGGGACATAATATAACTTTCTAGAAAGACATAATATAGGTAATTATACCATTCACGAGAAGGGAACATACAATGTTTTGAAGTAATTCAGAAGTGGGTGTGATTTATAAGACATAGAGCTTAGGGAATGGTAAGTATAAATTAGAGATTGTTCATATTATGACAGACTCCGTCATTACATTTCACAACTTTTGTCAAAAGCAACCTTAGTCACCACACCAATGAAGACTTCACATTAGGGAAGGCTGCTGTCAGTGCTGCCATTCAGAGTAGATAGGAATCCTCTTTCTCAACACCCTCTCGGGAATGGGTTCAAATTTTTGACTTAAAAATCACTGACGAAAAAATGAAATAAGGAAACCTCCATGGCCAATAAACACGTATAAAGATGTCAAACCCCGCTAAGAACCAGGTAATACAATTTTTCTAAAGGTACTATTTCTGACCATCAGATTGATAAAAATTACAAAACTTGTCAGACTGCCAAAATTAGTAAAGACTGACGTTGGTCAACATTGACAACTGTGGGGGGAAACGGGCACTGCTGGGGGGAATGTGAACTGGTACCATCATATTGGGGGGGGGCACTTTGGCGATGCCTGGCACAACTTTATGTCTACTGGCCCTCTGATGCAATGATTCCCTTTCGAAGACTCTATCCTAAAAAAAACAATGTGTGATTATATACATTTGTGTGACTATTTGATTCATGACTCTCTACTAGACAATAAACTTGGGTAGAGCAGACTATCTGTCTGGTTCACTACCTCTACCCCCAGTACCTACCACGTGGGGCTCAGATATGGTAGGTATCTGCTAAGTATTTGTTAAAGGACGAAATAAGTGTGTTGAAGGGTATCAAAAAAGCAAAGTAAAGTGTTCATCATAATTGGTTCTTCTTGTCTACATTAAACAAGAGTGGTAGAGTCCGTCACAATGTTAACAGGTATTTTTTTTAAAATGTCTATTTTCAAAAATAAATCAGGCACACTGTCAGCTTACAAAATTAATTATCATACTGGTAACAGCCCAAACACCTAGCGGCCTGTCTTTCCACCTCAAATCCCTAGCTTTCCAGTTAGTTCCATGGGTCAAACAGCTATTAAATGCTCTTGAAATGAGCCAGTTGTTATCACGGTCTATGATCCAATGACAAAGAAATGCCTGGTTTTGAGATGGGCTGAAAATAATCCCAAAACCTGTGTAACTAGACTCAGCACCCCCAAAAGAAGTGCACCTTTTAAGACACACAAATTTCCAAGTCTACCCGTTCTATTGCCTTTGACATGCCCATAATCAAGGAAGTATATCCTCTAAAAATACCAATACCATGGATTTGTTTTCCCGTATAATATGAGAAAGGACCAAAAACTTTAGAATCTTCCTTTTTTTTCTCAGCTCTCAATCCAACTTAGAGACAGAGGACGTGTTTCAAAATCAAGTATAAACTTGTGGATTATGTGCTTTGATAAACCTACCCTTGGAATGATTATATTCAGAAAAAAAAAAAAACGTGAAATTTTTAACTGTATCACTACTTGAAAACGGACCATCCATCAAAAGCTCTGGTATCCACCGGCAGCTATCACCAATGATGAAAGCTCCAACCATCTAGAATATGAAGTAAGAATCTTTATGTTACTGGGGGAAGAGTGCTATTGGAAATAAGATACGGACCGAATCCAGCCCCTCACTAAACCGCTTGAGGAATGCCCGCTAAGGGCATTTTGCAAACCCACTAGATTCACTGATGCTTGGGACTTTATGACCCTAAGGCTTAGTCCAGGACGGGTGTTGAAGGTACTGAGAAGGCAAAACCCATGAACATTTTTTATCCAACACTTTCTAAATACTAGATATTACAAAGAATCCCGTTCTGTCCATTTCAGCGAGGTAACAATTTCCCCCAAGATAACAGGGTTGGTAAACAATCGTGCTGAGATTTGTTTCCAAGAGTGTCAACTCCAGAGAGGTCTACATACCTCGTGCAAATGGTATGTTTGTGGTTTCAAGGAGCAACAGGTCACAGCACTGGACAGGACCTGATAAAATCGTATGGCTTAGCCCATGTCTGTAGTCGGGTAAGGAAGGCATGATAACCACAAGGCCCCTGGAGGGGCAGAGTTTCTTCCAGGTTCACAGAGTCGGTAAGTTGAGCCAACAGAAGCAAAAGAGCCAGAAAACAGCAGGATTGGCCACAGAGCAGGACCTCCTCCACGATGTGGCCGTGTCAGCAGGTAGTGATTCGGCAAAAGTGCAGGTTCCTACGCATTTTTATTTCCTAAATCTACGCAGTTCCTCTCTCTCTCCCTTGACCCATATTCTCGGGCCACCGTGGGCCTGGGTAAGGACAGGCATTTTGAAAAGTGAAGAGTGTCGAAGTCACATTTGATCGCCAACGGGGCTTTGTTGAGAAGCGCAGGAGGAGATGTAGGCGAGGGATCCGGGAGCAGGTGCCCCGCGGTTACCTGGCGGGGGTAGAGACGCGAGGGCACGCGGGCCGGGCAGCTCCCCCGCAGGCCAGGGCCGGATCTGAATTCAGGAAGCCCGGCACAGGCAGGGTGTTGGCTACTGACTAAGAAACTGCTAAAAATGGTAGGTGCCAAAGCACATCACGGCCTGGCATCGTGGCTGGGGAAGGAGAGAGGAACCAGACCGACGCCGAGCGAAAGCCGGGAAGGCCGGTGCGAGGCAGCGCGCAGGCCGCCCCGCGCCCGTGTGCAGGGGTGGGGCCCGGCGGGGGCGGGCGAGGGGGGCCCGGGCCCCGGCCGCCCCCAGTCCGGGCCCCTTCCCCCACCCCCGCTCCAGCAACCCGCGCCAGCCGGCCCCACAGCCCCCGCCCCCTGCCTGACCCCGGCCCCGGCTCCGCGAGGCGCGCGGCCCGGACCCCTCCCAGCGCGCCCGCCGCAGCCCCGGCCCCGCGCCCGGGAGCCGTCCCCGCCCGCACCTGGCGGCCGCGCGCCCGCCTACCTTGCTCCTTCAGGCTGGTGATGAGCTGCAGCTGCTTCTCCTCGTCCGAGCTGTTCATGTTGGCAGGTGGGGCCGGGAATAAAGGCAAGGAGGGAGAGGCGAGGGGCGCAGCGGGGGGAGGGGGAGGAAAAGCAAGCCGCCGGTGGCGTGCGGCGGCGGCACTACCCGGAAGTCGGGTCTGCTCCCGCTCCTCCTCCTCCTCCTCCTCCTCCTCCTCCTCCTCCTCCTCCTCCCCCTGGCGCCGAGCGCGCGAGTGAGATCATCCCCACGCACCTACTCGGCGGCCGCGGCGGCTGCACCTGCGGGCGCGGAGGGCGGGGCGGGCGGGGCCCACAGCCCCGGGCGGGAGGTGGGGCGGCTGCCGCGCCAAGCCCTCCCCGCGAGGATGCCCGGGGCGGCGGGGGGGGTGGCTGGGAGCCGCGCGGGTGCGCCCCGCTCGCTGCTGCACCCCTCCTGCGCCCCACCCCTGGACGCGCGCGATCGGGGGAGGGGGAGCAGCCGGCCTTGGGGCTGCGGCGTCCCTGGCGACCGCGCTTGGAGCGCTGCCGTGGGCCGACCCTCGCGGGCCACCAAGGGAGGGCGGGACGTGGTGGGCAGTAAACACCAGTTTAACCCAGTTCTCACCCCGTGGGAAATCGGCTGCCCGCAGGGGGCCGGCTCAGGGGACGCGGTTTGCACCTTGGAAAGCTGGCGGGGACCGAACAGGCCAGCCCGGTGCGGTAACGCCTGCAGAGCAAGGGAGGGCGTGGCAGTCAGCGGGCCGCGCCCCGGGCCCCGGCGGCCTCCTGCAGCGGCGCGGCTCGGGAGGTGGTCGGAAGGGGGGCGCATCCTGCGGCACGGGGACCGCTCTGCGGGGGCAGGACCTTGACCTTGGAGAGGCTGCCGCTGCGGGCCGAATGAAGCCCAGCATCTGTCCCACTTCACCGCGCTCTGCACGGTTTAAACCCGGCTCCGGGTTAGACCCTGACCACGAGAGCTGTGGCAGGCCCCGCACACATCAGAACGGCTCTCCCCAGGCCCCAGTTGCTGGTTAGTCTTTGGTCAAGTCTCCTGACGTCTTCCAACTCCCATCTAAAGAACGGGATTAATACCATACTTACTCTCCAGGAAGATACAAAGCACCAAATCTACAATTTGACACACGATAGGTGTTCTTTTTTTCAAGGTTCAGATCACAGGTCAGGAAAAAAGGGGTTGTGAATGCTAAATTTAAACTAAAACGGGCATAGTTCTTTTACACTGATCAGTAAGCATCCAGAATAAATCCAAACTGAATTAGACCCACTGCATATCTTGGTTTTTCTCACTAGCAAGCCCCTACTGTGGTTACTACACCAGCACGGTGCTTCTGCTCAATACTCACTTGCAAATGTCCAACTCCATTTACTGAAGGGGGTCTCTCTGACAGTGGAGAAGGGGACTGGAATAAAGGTAGTTGCTGCAACCAGTATCTGTCTGGTGTGCCTAGTTGCTGCAACCAGTATCTGTCTGGTGCGCCTACTAAATTCTAACTAAAACTTTGAAAAAAAAAATAGCTCTGCTTTCTCCAAAAAAAAAAAAAAAAAAAAAAAAGGTGACATAATATTTTTAGGATGGGTGATTTAGTGGCAGAATGACCCAAAAACGCAGCACAGTATTTTTAAATTAGAGTGAATTAGAATTTTGAAAATTCAAAAATAATTTTGGTATGGTGTCTTATTATCCAATCCTTTCCCTAGTTTTTCATGAAATAGTTTAGGACTTGCAGATCAACTGTCAGGAAAATCAGCAAGAGATTAACCGAAAGGCCTTTGCCCTGAGATTACCTGAGGTTATATCTTAATCTTCAAAGATAAAGTGCCAGGAAACATGAGACAATTCAGATTCAGCTATGACAAAGTATGAATGATATGTGCTGTTGCCAGGTATTTTGTATATAGATATAGAGAAATCATTTCTTTTTTTTAAAAGATGTTATTTTTTGAGAGAGAGAGAACAAGCAGGGGAGAGGGGCAAAGGGAGAAGCAGTGGACGGCAAGGAGGGAGCCAGATGACAACAGACAACAATGTGGGGCTCCATCCCAGGACCCTGGGATCATGACCTGAGCTGAAGGCAAATGCTTAACCAACTGAGCCCCCCAGGCACCCCAAAAGAAATCATTTCTTTCCAGAAAAAAATCAAGACATTGGGCAAGAAATGGCCACCTGGTTTTTGTAAGGCAGCCAGGAAACCTGTTAAACCTGATCAGTCACCCTGATTGCTGGGCAGTGTCCAAAGACCTCTTCCAAAACTACCTGATCAGAAATATTTTCTCATACTCAACCAAATATCAGGACAGTGCCTATTAAATATTTGAGTTAGTTCACAAAGTTCCATTATTTTAATGGCTGATTTAATCATCTACTCCAATTATACAGTAATTAGGTATCCCTTTTGGAGTTTAAGAATGAGTTAATTAATTATCAAATCTATAATCACATTGAGTGCTTTGCTCCCTGGCTTAATCTGAAGCCCCTTGAAATCAATCCTGTTTACCTTCCCTGAAATTAAAATAGCCTTCTGAAATACAATATGGTATTATCTTCAGGGCATGGAATGAATTATTAGGATGGCTATTAGAGTCATTTATTGGGATTCAGATCTCCCATTACGCTATGGTTTATTTATATGATATGAATATTGATGGAAAGGATAGAAGTGATATAATTAGTTTTTGTTCTGCTTAATAATGCACATAGGGATTTTTGTTGCAAGCATCACAATGAAATTATTAACCTCTATATAACATATAATTAAAAGTCTTTAAAATATATATATATATATATAAAGAGAGAGAGAGAGAGAGAGGGATGGAGAGGACAGACTTTTAAAAAATGAATTGGAAGAATATGTACCAAACTCAGGATAATGGCCACCACTAGGAGTAGAAACAGGCCCAAGCAGTGAGGAGTAGAATAAGAGCAGTGGTCAAAAGGTTTTTCTCTTTAATGCTTATTTGCATTTTCAGGAAATAATAAATTTACATGATTTATGTAATCTTTTGAAGTATACAGATAAGATCAAAATAGAACATGAAAAAAGGTTCATTTTCTTTGATCTAACTCCATTTTAGGGAATTATCTTCAAAGTCTTTATATGTGAAGCTATTTATTATAATATTATGATATAAAATTGATAGCACTATTATTTAACAATAAAAAGAAATAAAGTGTACATGCTACAACATGGGTAAACTTTGAAAACACTGTGCTAAGTGAAAAAAGCCAGTAAGAAAATACCAGATATTATATGATTCCATTTATATAGAATGTCCAGAAGAGGCAAAAGCCATAGAGAAAGTTGAACAGTGGTTGTTGAGGACTGGACAGCAGTGGGGGAAATGGGAAGTGGTTGCTTAAGAGGTATGGAGTTTTTGTTGGAGTGATATTTTTCCAAAATTAATTGTGATATTTGCACAATTCCATGAATAAATTAAAAACCACTAGGACTATACACTTTATACACTTTGTATGGGAGAATTTTATATGTGAATTACATCTGTTATAAAAACAGATTTTCAGAGGAAGAAATGTTTTACTTCAATACACACATAACTCTACTAAAGTTTCTTATACAAGTATTTTTCATCTTTCAAATCTCACTATATATAATAGTTTGTTCCAAGTTTTACTAAACATTATTTCATATACACTTTATCTTGTACCAACATAATCTACATATTTACTCAATCCCATTCCATTACGTCAAATGAACAATTAACCATTCTCAAATTCATAGATATTTGAGGTGTTACTAATTTTGTCTCTTTATAAATAGTACAGCAGGAATATAAGGGCTATGCCAAGGCATGTCATAGTCAAACTGTTAAAAAGTAAACATGACACTCAGGTCTTAAAGCAGCCAAAGATAAGTACCTATTACATTCAAGAAAACAACGAGAGTAATGACAGACTCCTTATTATTTAATGTAATCATTAAAGAATTACAACAATATTCAACACTCAACAATGTAAAATTCACAATATCCAGCATCTAAAAATTAGAGTAAGCAAAGAAGCAGAAAAATATGATCCATGATGAGAAGCCAGTGAACAGAAACAGTATCATGTCTCATAAATGACAGAGATGATGAAATTAGCAGACAAGGACCTAATAGGCAAAATTATAAGTCTTATAAATATGTTTAAGATATATCAAAGATATAAAAGGAAACATAAACAAGATGAAGAGGAATCCAGGAGTTATAAAAATACTCTAACAGAACTATAAAAGATAAATATAAGAAATAAAAAATCGGGCAGCCTAGGTGGCTCAGCGGTTTAGCACTGCTTTCAGCCCAGGGTGTGATCCTAGAGACCCCAGATGGAGTCCCATGTGAGGTTCCCAGCATGGAGCCTCCTTCTCCCTCTGCCTGTGTCTCTGCCTCTCTCTCTCTCTCTCTCTCTCTCTCTGTCTCTCATGAATAAATAAATAAAATCTTTAAAATAAAAAAATAAAAAATCCTACACATATCATCAGGGAGGATTTACTGCAAATTAGTTAATACAGATCAATGATCTTGAGATAGAACAATAGTAACAATCCAAAGTAAAACACACAGAACAGGGGCACTTGGGTGGCTCAGTGGTTGAGTGTATGCCTTTGGCTCAGGGCATGATCCTGGGGTCCTGGGATCAAGTCCCACATCAGGCTCCCCATAAGGAGTTTGCTTCTCCCTCTGCCTGTGTCTCTGCCTCTCTCTGTGTGTCTCTCATGAATAAATAAATAAAATCTTAAAAAATAAAACAGAATAAATTAAACAAGCAACACAGATCTGGAATACAACATCAGGCAGGTGAGCACACATGAAATTCATGGCCCACAGGGAGATGAAAGAATGCTATATGAAAAAATGTGATTTTGGGGTTTTTCTAAAAAGATGTTATATATTTATTTGAGAGGGAGAGATCATAGTGGTGGGGAGGGGCAAAGGGAGAGGGAGAAGCAGACACCACCACCACTACCACCACCACCCCACCCCTACTGAGGAAGCCCAATGTGAGGGCTGGATCCCAGGATCCTGAAATCACAACCTAGGCCAAAGGCAGATGCTTAAGCAACTGAGCCACCCAGGCACCCCTGAAAAAATGTTTTTAAGTGACAAAATGTGGCTACAAAGATCCCAAATTTGCTGAAAGATGAATTTACAGGTTCAAG